CTAACAAATAATTTATGTATAATTCATAAAGTACTTGATCATACTTGTTGATCATAAATTTCTTGATCTGATTAATAACCTATTCCGGTTGAACTGAAACATTTCATACTTCTGAAAACAGTCAGGGTAATGAAGTAATCGATGCGATTTGAGGTTGTGTGGATCGTCACATTTCTTGTGCATATTTCCATAATCGTGGAGATTGTACACGGAAACGCCAGTGGATGGCTGAGAATTGTCAAAAAAGTTGCGGTTGGTGCGATATACCGCAACAAAAACTCTGTGCTCATGTCGCTAAAATGAGTCGTATGAAATAATCGAACGATAAGTCATACAACTAACTAATTGATCGCATATGATAACGCTTATCACAACAACTTATCGGATCGCCCATATCAGTGGCCCTTGAACGTTCTGTAGCGAACAGTGTCTAGATGTGGAGAAAATTAAGGGAATAACTGAAGTTTCCATGCCGAAACTTCGGTTATGCTAACGAAACGAATGAAGAATGAAAGGAAACTGATTTCAGTTAAACAGAATATGTTAATCTAATAAATTTTAATGTCTTCCTATCAGGCGATTCACACTTTCGGAACCATTGTTCGTTATAGTTAATATAACATTATGATGAATTTTTGATCATTTTCACTCGAATACTAAACTTCATGTTATACTTAATTCATGTAAATATTAATAATAATAATAATAATAATAATAATAATGACGCTTGAACTGCTTGTACCTTCTGCCTCACCGTGGGATCTTTCATCATTTGAAGGATTCCTTTCGTTCATTGCTGTGTTTCTGATTTATTATCTGTTTGTATTATGCATTGATAAGGAGAAGGAATGTTTATTTTTGCTCTTTAACAATAAGATTTTTTCTTCAGTTGAATTCGCATCTAATATCGCGATGATTTACTCACTAAGTGATCAATTTCTAGCATGGACTATCACCTTTTCGCTTATCTGCCTCTTATTGAGAAACAGTAAGTTCATTCCTTCTCAAATGTAAAAAATCTGTCATTCAGCTAGTTGTCTGTTCAGACGTCCAAAAAGCGGGCATCTTAATGCTCCTTTTGCTCACACTGAAACTGCGTATTATTCAACTGTTTTTGGGTCTGTTATTTTTCGTTCTCTTGTTCTGTTCAATAACTCCTAATACTTGGAATTTCTTCTAATTCATTTCGACACCCACCCACTGCCACACACAGTCATATGTCAACATCTCAGGTCATATAACCTTGTCATAAATGATTTCTGCTCAGCTGCCCTGCTCGCTTATCACTTTTTTATTAACTAGCTAATTTGATTTGTCAAGGTTAAGTAACGGAGCCGAAAAAAAAGTAAGAAGTAGAATAACAGAGTAAAAAAGCGAGCAAATCATTTGAGCAGAGGTTGTCTGATCATATGATTAAGGAGATCATAAGACTTATTAGGGTCTCTTCAGGTATGTTGCTTCCATTTTTCATAGAATATATTTGTCGTTTCCTTCCACATCTTCCTTTCAAGGACTTACTGCTCACCGACAACACTTTATCAAGACTGTAATATAGTGCTCTTGTGCCCAATTCTTTCCACAGCATTTTTATTTCTCAGTGTTTTATGTGTATTATTTACTTATGTCCTTGCGAACTGTAGCATTGATGTATTGATATTTGACTTCTCGGGTTGCTGTGATATGAGCAAATTCATCATAAACCCAATAGGTTGGTTAATAAAGATTTTAAATCCATATTCAGTTTCATGTGAACATTCGGTGTTGGAAGAAGTTTTGATCTGCAGAGCTCAGTCCTGATTCGTCGAGACTAAACGTAGTAAGTTCTAAAAATATGCACAAATAGATGAATTTAGCAGACTGTTGATAGGTGCAAACGGGTCCAGTTAACGATGAAATTCGGTGCTCTGTTTTAATGATTATTAAGGGGACACAACTACAAATCAAATACGCACATAATCGTAAACAACGGAAATTGCTGACGACGCATTCCTCAAATGTCAATATTTCAATTTGTTCTGTCATGGATTCAGATTCAATTCGTAAGCAAGCAGGCGGCGTTCATTGTCGCGCATGTCATCAAGTGTTTTTGAGTGTGTAGACAGCAAATAACGATGACAGCAACATTTATTATGTCTGTGCTGACCTTAACGTACACAACACACAATCGTCGGCAATGAACGAATCGGCAAACGTGCCATTTCAAACATTTCAAACCAACCAAATAATGTGCACACCAACAATAAAACAATTCAACGAAACCAATTTCGTCATTTTACGCTTTCTTGTTCAACGCCAAACCAAATGAGAAATGTGTTTCTCACGAATTCAAAAAAATCGTCGAAATTTATGATTCTTTTTACCTTTACAAGGAAAGGTCGCACCGTATGTTTCATCAAGCTTCTAATTTGATGCCGTCTAAACAACACTCACAAAACCATTCATTCAGCAAGAAATCTCACAATCTTGTCAGTGAATCTTTGAATGGTTCTTTACATTTATAATTTCTTTAATCAAATATTAATGTCTCCATATTTTCTTCACTTTTTTTTCGATGAATGTTGAAAAATGTTGCCGAGGTCGTCCTTTTGCTAACAGTTAACGCAACAACTTCAATGATGAATCAGTGATTATTCATTCGAAAATTTTATGAGTGCAATAAGTTGAGAAGACGTGAATAATATCAGCAACTAAAGTGCAATAGCAACAATATCATTGAAGATGATTTAAAACGCAAATACCAACTGCTGAAAACCAACGTGCCTAGCTATCATGATTTAGTTTAACAATGCCATCAAATTCCTTGCTAAAACAGCACTTCTAATTCCATACAACTCAGTTGATGAAAAAAACGCTAAACATTTTCTCGAGTGCGTGCGAAACAGTCAAAAACATTCTAACGAATCAAAACTTCTTCAGCAAACAATTCTTTGCAAAACGCAAACAATTTTAAATTGATATTTGCAAAATGGCCTCGAAAAAGTCAAGAGAATAAGTACGTAATAGCTGCAGCAACGGGTTTTCGTAGGTGATAAAAGAACAAATGATCAAAAAGCAAATTTAAAACGAACAATTAAGCAAATAAATATGACGACGAATAAATCAAGAAACCATAAACAGTTACGAATAAAACTGAATGTAACCTGATAGTGATTATTAATTGTAATGGGAATACAACGAAGTAGACCTTTAAAAATGAAATGAAACACGATATGATAAAATAAAGAAAATGACAAAACCAAAAAAAGGATATTTAGAGTCAAGAGACAATATGATCAAGCAGTAACAAACGATCAGGTCAAGGTTGTCATAAATAGATTACTGGAACAATACCGAAACTTAAACATGAACTTTAAACCATCCACCTTGGGAACAAAACCCCTCCAGGATGCTACTAAAAGCACCCTCCCAACAATGCACCTCAACCAAACATGATGCCTTCATCCGTGCCACTTTCTCAATAACGATCTCCGTAACGTCCACCACCTCCACTGCTGCTGTCTCTGAAAAATCGTTCAACTGAGCATTTCAGGTCAAGTTCAATTTCCTTAATTCTCTACACCTCACACACTGACTAGTCATCTCGTTCATATCGAACAATTTGTAGTGGGATTTATTGAGATTTCTTTAAGCAATGTCAACCTTTTTATATCAACAACATATGTTTGAAATGCTGACGAGCAAGTAGTGCACATCGCAACTAAAACTATCATCGCATCATAATACCGCATGGTGAGCAATTATCAACCGATTGATTATTCAGCATATTAAGGTGTCCAGCATCAATTAAACGGATACGTGAACAGTCAACAGCAACAATAACAACAACCACAATAGCATGATTCCAAACCGAAACTATCAACTCTAGACCGATTATAGAAAGCGTTTTGTCCAAGTAACATAACTGAGCACCGTGCATCAATCACATCGAAGAGAGTAAAACAAAACACTGTGACAGTATCTCAATCCGCAAATGTTTTAATGAAGATAATTAAATGAATGAAGTAAAATTAAATCTAAAAATAGCAAAAATATGATACTCACCATTTATATGTAAAGGCAAGCAACAGAAGTGAGTTTGATCGTATCAACTCAGATAGATACTCCTTACAGTCTTCGTCTAGAGAGCGCCGCCGCCGACAGAAAATGCAACATACGATTCAATCCACCGAGATCGCAGCACGTATTTCAGTTCAGTTCAACAACGCATATCAATCAAGCATTCTACCGTATTCAGACCGTATTGGCCGCACCGTACCGTAGCGTACAAACCGTAACCGAACGCAACACGTATGAAACTCCCACCGAGGCCAATTCTACTGGGGAGTTAGCTCGGAAAATATCACAAGAACCGAATATGTAGGTGAGCATAAGATCGCCGCAATTTCCATTTTGATAAGCAAGTGCGTATGTGTGATCGCTGCTGAATGTCACCTTTTTGCACGGTCACCCGTTATTCATTCATTCCCTTGACTCTAACTGAAGGACCGGAAACAATAAATAATATAACATCGAAGAGAATAAATGCAAATCTTAAAAAAGATTTATATCCATGCGCTTAAACTATCTCATTTAATCATCCACAACTCTACTGTCACTGGACGGAATTGAATGAAAGCAGTCAAAGAGAACACAGCTTATCAACTATAATCATGGACCGTCAAACGAATAACACTCCTCGAATACAACACTTCNAATATGTTCAGATTCTATGCACATATAAAACTCAATCACATTCCACCACTTTTTCAATTTCCCTTTACTTCCAGATGAAGATTCTTTCACTCTTCATACACTTTCTGTTCTGTTCTTATGCTTCAGCGCATTCGACGTGCTCGACAAGCTGTTGCTCTCCACACATTTCCGTCGACGTTTCCATTATTTTCAAGCATGCCGTTAGAACCGATGAATTTATCAAAATGACGCCGGTCAGGCAACATTCACATAGCATCCCATCCGATTCTACTGATACGGGAACAAGTGCAAACCGAAACTTCGTACGGTTCTTGAAGTTACGACCGTTTTGCCCATGAAATATATCCGTCCATTCGTCCGTCCATCCATATATTCTTACTTATACTCTCTTCATGTGCCGACATATTCAAATACTATTTTCCAGTATAACATGTGAACTTTACGCAAATATTCCGCATGAACCGTTTGTCATATATCAGGGTTTGATTTCATAGTTGAACTACTATTTTATATTATAAGAAAGTGTTTGAAATCCATTCATGAAACTTCAAAAAAGAAGTCAGAAATAGTTAACCTTCTACCGCTTCCTCCTCCACCACCTCCTCCACTACTACTACTACTGTAATAGCTTCGGCCACCACCATTACTGTATCCACCACTACTACCACCGTAACTTCCGCCGCCTCGACTACCACTACCGTATCGACTGCCTCCTCTACCACCACCACCGTATCCTCCGCCACCATAACCACCACTTTCGTAACTGAAACATTAGTTAAGTACAGTCTAACTTGAGATGTTTTGTTTTGCACGCGATAAACCAGTTCTCGTATCTAGATCGCAAAAAAACTCCAGTGGTGTTTATTTCTGATCAATTAGGTGAGTGTGAAGGTTTGAAGCCGGACTTTCGTATGAACGCAAACGGCGAAAGCATGCACATGAAACAACCAATGGGTGAACGTACCGTCCTCCTCCACCTCCACCGTATCTTCCACCACCACCTCCACCACCATAACCTCCACCGTAACCGCCACCACGACCACCACCACCACCACCGAAACGTCGTGGACGTCTTTCACCAGGTTTACGTGGTGGATGCGCGGTTGCTACTTTGATTTTGTTACGGCCGACATATCTGCAAAGTTATGAACGTTGCAGCAGTGGTGCCTTACGATCAATGAGAAGTGTGCAACCGAACGAGAACAGGTAATAATGATAACGTACGCGTTATCCATTTGCTTGAGTGCTTCGGCTGCATCATCCTTATGCTTGAATGTAACGAACGCAAACAACGGTGGATACGATGCCAACCATACGCTGTGAATATTTCCGAACTTCCTTAAAATTCACACAAGATTATCGTTGAATATAAATAAATGTTCAAGAAGAACAGAACATAATTTTGAGTAAACAACACTAACTTGAAGGCGTCTTCGAGATCTGCCTCCTTCATGCTTTCATCAAAATTGCAAATATGCAATCTGCCGAACTCATCCGACTGACCATCAGATGAACGCGATCGGCTTCGATTACGCTGTGGTGGTGAAGCGCTACGAGACGGTGAATTCTCACTGAAAAAAAATTATCTAATTTATGAGAAGGTGCGATGAACTAGTGTGGTGCGAGGATCGGGCAATTTCGGGAACNGATTTCAGATCACAACAATAAAAATGAAAAGATCCAAGCCGTACTTTCTTGGCGAAGGTGACCGCTGTTGTTCATTATTTTCCATAACGTCTGCACTGGACATTATCCTCAATCAGGCTATAATTTCTGAAAGTCGTCGTAAACATCAACGTTGTGTTGCTTTAACTGAACGAACGCGAAGCGCAAAAATAACCGACCGATAAAGACAAACGACGCCCTATTAACAAGCACACTCTCTAGCTGACCCATCCATCTAATAATGAAGAGCACGCACAGAAATTTGGCAAAAAAAATTATGAATATTACGGAAATTATCTACAGAAAAAAAAGAAACCCTTTTCGAAATAAAAAATTCGCAAACGAAACGCTTCTAATCAATGGCTATCATATGCAAATTCTGAGCGTGACATCATCACAAGCGCGGGTCGTCGATAAGCAGCAATAAGAGGAAGAAAATTGCAGATGTATGTTGACTATCCTTTGTCAACGAGCACTCCTCCTCTCAGTCACTAACCGCTCGGATGGAACACACACAGCAGACAAGTAAACGTATATGTGACTGCTGTGATACAGAGAAGTCAGCTTGTCCATCAACAACGCCAAAACATTTCCCACACTGTTAAACATAGCAGTAAGTGAACGCAGCAACAACGAGCACGCCATAGTATTATTGGTGCACGGGAAGTGTGGCCGGCCGTGGGGTATCATTTCCTAACTACTTGCTCACAAGGGGAAGGGAACGACGGGGAAGTTCGCTGGACGGACAGAACAACAG